TTTTTTTATTTATTTTATTTACAGATAGATTTTATTTATTTATAGATATTTTTTATCTTATGGATTTTTTATTTTAGATTTAATTTGGTTTCATGGATATATATTTTTTTTAATGAGCTTTTTAATTTTATTTTATAGATTTGTTTATATTATGTACCTTTTATTTTATATTTTATTTCATTGTTTTTATTTTATGGACTTTTTAAAATTTTATATTTAATTTTTGTTTAATTTTATTAATTTATATTTTATATTTTAATGAATCTAAATGTTATTGTAATCGTCATGTTATAAAGGTGTTTTTAGTTGTACATGGTTCTGATGCCTTGTGATGTACTTGTCCACTGCAGGGACAGATGTGTGTCTTTCTATTGTTTTCCAAGGGTTTGAAGTGTTTATTAATCCGAAGCTTCTTCTGATCTGTTTGTGCTCAATCTTTGCTCACACCAGACTCAAGAAGCAGTGCACACGCTCTCTGCCATGACCGCGGGAATACGCCGCAACTGGATCCAAGCGGTTATGAAAAACGTCAGGCCGTCCACTGCGCCAGATGTTGCTAGGTGCGTCACCCTGCATGATGCAGTAGCACACAAATCTGTTTTTGTCTTTAAAATATTTAAGTCTTGCGTATAAAATGTTTTGAAACAGCCTGACGGATGAACACGCTTCCTGCGGCCCGTTTGAGAGTCTCGCCCGGCCTGACGTCACGCAGGACTCCCTGTCCTTCAAAGCCTCGGTAGAGCGGGAAGGTGGATTGAAGAAGAGCCGAGCGAGGGAACGGAGGCGAGAAGGACGCTCCAAAACGTTTGACTGGGCCGAGTTTCGTCCCATCGCCCAGGCTCTGGCGCAGCAGAGAGCACACGAGGCCGACACCTTCCAGGCCGAGCTAACCGAGAGAAACAAGAGGAGGGAGGAGAGGCGGAGGAGGTACGAGAGCGTCACCGGCTCATCCTTCGATCCTGCCACTGACATCACAAAGATGGACTTCGAGAGTGGGGGCGTGGTCCAGGTAGATGCTCCGCCCCCATCGGAGGAGCGGCTGCAGAGAGTGGAGGACGAGATCGAGCAGCGCTGGCAGCAGGTGGAGAAGACGCCCATCAGGGAGGAGAGGAGGGTGCCTTTGCCCTCCACACAGCACAACAGAGACGCATCAGAGCTGGAGAACCTCCTCGAGAGCTACAGGAAAGGGGTGCGGGCTTCAAAATCCAGTGCACAGTTATTCCTTTAAACTAGGGCTGTCGAGTTAATCGCACGTCAAATTGGGCTTAGAAAGCACCCCCTCAAAACATCCTTTAAAGTCATTATTGTGTTAAATGAGAAACAAATTTGAAATGTTCTTTTTTTTTTTTTATGAAATGGTGCTCTAAAAGCAAGTGAGTCATTGAATTATTCACTCAACCGTTTTGTTCAAACAACTGATTCATTCAGAAACGAAGCAAGTGACTCTTTATTAATGAGTCAATGAATCATTGACTCAATCGATTCATTCAGTAATGAATCACTGCTGTGTGTCACTTGGAAAACAACAGTTCTGCTGTGGCTTTGATTGGAACTATTTTCATTTGCGAGACTTAAACAGACAACTTTAACAGCATTGTGTCTAAAATATAACAGTATTAACTTCTCGTTTATTGAACAGTGGTATCACATTTGCAGCGGTGCAGATATTGGGGAGAAACAGCACTCTTGCTGGTGTGATATTGATAAACTACTGTATATCATATGATTTAAACGGATGCAATACGATTTTTCACCCCCTCAAAACATCCTTTAAAGTCATTATTGTGTTAAATGAGAAACAAATTTGAAATGTTCTTTTTTTTTTATGAAATGGTGCTCTAAAAGCAAGTGAGTCATTGAATTATTCACTCAACCGTTTTGTTCAAACAACTGATTCATTCAGAAACGAAGCAAGTGACTCTTTAATAATGAGTCAATGAATCATTGACTCAATCGATTCATTCAGTAATGAATCACTGCTGTGTGTCACTTGGAAAACAACAGTTCTGCTGTGGCTTTGATTGGAACTATTTTCATTTGCGAGACTTAAACAGACAACTTTAACAGCATTGTGTCTAAAATATAACAGTATTAACTTCTCGTTTATTGAACAGTGTTATCACATTTGCAGCGGTGCAGATATTGGGGAGAAACAGCACTCTTGCTGGTGTGATATTGATAAACTACTGTATATCATATGATTTAAACGGATGCAATACGATTTTCTCACGTAAATTAGATTTTAGACAATTTATCAATTAAAAGGTGTCCTTTTATTATTTCTCAGACAAAATGCTGCACATTTTTTTGTGAAATTGAAATGTCAAACAAATCATAAATCACATAAATAATACAAATAAAATAAATCTCTTCATAAGTGCATTTAAAATCAGAGGCAAGCACTGTGCTGCAACTGTGTCGCGAGTCGTTTAATATCTCCACCGCCTTGAATAGTCACACATTTATACTGTTGAAAGCTGAAAGATGAAATCTGATGTGGCTTGAGATCATAACTCCTCGTTGTGTTTTGGATGTTGTTAGGTCGAGGAGCTGAAAGCTCAGCTGGAGAGCTGTCACCAGCAGTTAATGGACTCCAATCAGCACAAGCTGGAGCTGGAGGGTCAGCTCAAGAACGCTCTCCAGCACGAACAGCAGATCCGTGCCGGTTACATTTCACCGGTAGGCCACATTTATGTCACAATGTTCTTAGTGCATTCATGTATTGCCTGATTGAACACATTGTGTGTCATTATTAGGAGAAAAACAAACACATGGCTTCCATCTTTATCATCGAAGCTGTAAACGCGTGCTTTGCATGTCTAGAGACCGTTGCATGTAAACGAACAGAGCTCTTTTTGCCATGTTCAAGCAAAATGACATTAAAATTTTCAATTTCATACAAGCTGTATTGCATGTTCCAACATAGAAATGATTAACATTAACTGAACATGAATGAATAAATGTGCAATGATGGCATGAAAACACACTCAGAACGTAGACTCACTGTGCCCTCCGGATACACTCATACTCAATGCATATTTAAAATTAATGTAAAACATTTACAGCATATTATAAAAAATAAAAAAAACGGTTACACTTTACTTAAAGCCTATATGTGTAATGCATTATAAAAGTATTCATGATGTGCATTGTAATGCATTATATCTGTTTATAAACAATTGTAACCAAAGTTAAAATGCATTATAATATCTTAAGGTTTGGTTGTCATGTGTTCTAATGCATTACACTTTCTAAAGGTGTAACAGTGAATAGATAATGTATTATAAGTGCGGTTACAGTTATTCATGAGATCATACAATGCATGATAAGGTGCATTAACTAATGCATTAAAAACACTTTTACTAAAGGTTTTAAGTAAAGTGTTACCAATGCTTTTATTAGTAGTATTTATGCAATAGTTTAAGGTTAGAAAAATAGTTTTCAGCGTCAGATATGTCCCCTATTTGTATTTTCGCAAAAGCATTGGGCATCAGTATATCTTAAGGGTGTGGAAAATTATTTCTAAATGCTGTACAGTGCTACCTAAACATTGACATAGGAAAAGATGCGTATGTGCATGATATGTTTCATATTTAACCAACGTTCATTTCATTTTAACCTTATTCTTGACTTCTTCCATATAGCGTGTGTGTGTGTGTGTGTATGTTTGTCTTTAGTGTTTGTTCAAAATATCATTGCATTGTTTTCTGAGCTTAATGTAGACTTCTCAAAATTGTTTTATTGACTTGTTTTGGCATTAAATAGCTACGGTTATTGTTTTTCTTTAGGATACCTTTTCAGTATACCATAGTTTAGGCGTTTATGTATTAAAAGCAAATGTGTGGTGATTTTTATCTAAAGCATGGCATTGATCCACAAATGTGAATATCTGCCCAGGACACATTTTTATCTCCACCAGCTAGTTTTAAGGGTTGTCTTTTATGGGTTTATTTACTCACCTTTGAATCAAAAGGTCTGTTATAAACACTCACAGTAGTGGTTGCTTAGTAGTTCAGGTTAAATTGTTCCAGAAAAGGCCTGCAGGCTTTTAACTGGATGGCATGTGACCGTTCTGGCATTCTTAGCTAGCACTAATTTTGCATCACTTACCCTAAGAAACATCTCTTTAACCTCTTAATATGCATGCACTGTTTTTGATTTACTAACCTTTTTGCCATTCATTTTTTTTCTAGCATTCTAATGCGCCTCATTCCATGAAAGAAGCTGAGTTAATTGACTCTCCCTTTAAACTTCATAGATTGATTAGACTCAGATGTGGTAATGAAATGTGAATTTTCCTCAAACTATAATCTAGCAATTGATTAGCGATGTTCATCTGTGCTGACTGTTAACCAACTGTCTGGTCCCTTTTCCAAGCTGGAGTCCCCTTTGAGTCTTGAGACAGAGCCCCGGGTGAAGAGGACTGAACTGGTTAGTTCTCAAGCTCAGAGCTTAACAAAGAAGTACCAGGAAACCAAAGAGCTCCTGCAGCTGCAAGAACTGAAAAAGCGCAACATGCAGGCACAGCTTGGCCTTTCTCTCTCACACTGCCCCGCAGAGGAACCTTACCTTTCTGACACCAAAAAACCCTCCACTCCAGAGGTCTGTCCCTCAAACTCCATTCAGAAAACCGTCAGTTTTATGCTTCAGGATAGCGAGGGAAAGATTAGAGAGCTGGAGAGCTTGATTGATGCCAGTGAGCCTCTGACGTTAAGAGAGCTGATAATGCTCATGCACTCGCATAGCGAATACCTTTGGATAGAAAGTCCTCAAGGACAGGAAAGAAGTGGGTCAGTAGGCGAAATGACGCAGAAACTGTTGGAAAGCCTCAAGAACCAACAGGAGATTGAGAATGAGACCATGAGGAGAAGCTTGGAAAAGGCTGGAGACTCTATCCGAGACTATGAAGCTCGTTTGGTCACCATGGAGGGCATGCTGGGAAGAGTCCATAGACAGAGAATGGAGAGTCCGTGTGCGTTAGGTTGCTCGAGAGAAGACCATCCCAATCTGTCTCAGCAGGTGGAGTTGCTGGCGAACGAAAACGTAGCTTTGAACCAGCGCTATCAGGAAATTGTGAACCAGTTGAGAGAAGCCGACCGAGAAATAGACCGGCTGAATGCTGAGCTTTGTCGACTGTGTAGCAGCCAGCAATATCCACAAGCCAACGTGAACCAGGTGCAAGAAGAGAAAAATGTGTACGAGCGAGAACTCCACGAAAAGTCACAGAAGCTACAAGAGGCTCTTATTAAGTTGGAGACTCTTGGTAATAGTTTGAAAGATTCGGAGAAAAGATTGCAGCTTAAAGAAGCTACACTTAGGGGTCTTGGATTTCAGGTGGCAGAAAGCCAACATGATGATAAAGAGTTAGATGTGGAGACGGACGAACTGAAACGGCAATTAGAGGTCCTTCAATCTAAGCTTTCCGAGAAGGAGAAGCAGCTTCAAAATGCTGAGCAGGTCTGTAGAGAACTTCATTCCCAGAATGCAAAGCATGAAGAGACAGCGAGGATGTGTAGTCGGATGCTTGTAGAGGCTCGGGAGGAAATCAGGACGTTGAAGGCAGGAACTCAAGGGACGTTTGGTAGTGAACCAGGAACAGATAGTGGGTGCCAAGAGTTGATGCAGAAACTCACGAATGAAAGTGTAGTTGAGGAAGTCGCGGAAGAGTTCAAGAGCAAGTCTAAGTCTCTGAATCATCTGCTTGACTTGTTGGTAACTGGCAGTAAGATGGATTTGTCCAACACTGGCATGAACACCAATATTTCGGATGAGGATCAGGCAGGAATGATGAAGAAGATGTTTGAGAGAAGGATTCTGCATGAGGTTTTAGCTGGTTTAGAGGACTGTCAAAAAGGCTCCGAGGCCAAAGCAGTAAGAAAAGCTGTAGAACGTATGATAGTGGATAATAAGATGCTGCTGCTTATGAATAAGCTCTCCAACCTCCAAGAACTTCAGGGTGACTCAAAACCTGCAACTTGCGCTGGAGATGGAAATGCACAGATGATGAAATCGAATATTATGAATCGGTTGCTCAGTGATGCCAGCGATCCCTGCGTCCTGAAGACTCTCGCTGAAGTCATTCAGAAGAAAGTGACTTTATTGAATCAAACCGCTTCGGCTCTTAGGGAACGAACTCATGAGGAGCTCCAGTCGTTGGGTTTGACTCTGTCAAGCTGTGGCTCTCAAAGATGCTGGTCTGAGTACATTCGTGAGGCCATAATGGACATAACATGCATGTGCTTTGTAGTTCTGCAGAACTCGCCACGGGTGAAACCGTTAGACCTGTCTGCATGTGCAAATTGTGCTGATTTGAGAGCGCAGCTCGAGTCTGAGAAGCGGGTTAAGTCGAGCGTCAGTGGAGACTTAACCCACATTCAGATCGAAGGAAAACTGATCGACTCTCCGGATGAGGCCTTACAGCTTCAGGACTTGATGGCTAGGCATAAGAAAGAGCTGCGCGAATTAAAGGAGGCGTACGAGCAAGAAGTGGAGAAGCTGAGACGGGAAGTGGCCAAGGCTGGTGAGACTCTGAGACTGAGATCCGAGGAGAACGTGAAAGAGATCGACTCTCTGACGCTGTGCATGGAGAACCTGAAGAAGCAGCATGAGATGGAGTGTAAGGACTTAATAGCACGCTTCAGTCAAGAGATGGAAGAGCTGACGGACGCCGTCGAGCCTGGATCGGACTCCACTTCCCTCAAAGTACGGATCCAGAAACTCGTGTCCCGGGTGTCCGAACTGACTGAAGAAATGAACCGGCGAGATCGTGATGGGGATGCAACATTGCTGCGTCTGAAATATGAGAAAGACCTGGAAAACCTAAAGGTCAAGGAGTTCTGTGTCCTTGCTGTTCTCAGTCTGTAATGACTTAATTTGGCAACCTTAAACCTGATCCGTTCCCTTCCTTCTCTCATACTAACCCTGCTTTGTGGTGCTGGCCTAATATCTCTCACCAGTGATGCATGGCTGCTAACCTTTGGTGTGCGTGTACGGTTTGACTCTAGTGTGGCTGAGAGGAAAATATGATTATATGCAAGAAGCCATTTATAGATAATTGAGTCCAATGGAGAACCATTAAGTTTTGGAGAATGCATAAATGCATACTCCTCATGTCAGCAATTATGCAGTGAAGTCTAAAAACTTGTGTGGTTCGCCTGGTTGACTTTGATCTGAACTCGTCACATTAAACCTCTTTGCCTGATTAACAGCCAGTGCTCTGCATAAATTGCTGCTCATCTTTGATGACCGCAAAATGCCAGCTGCTTAACATAATAACAAATCATGCATGACTAACTAAAAGGGTTTATTTTAAACACTTGTCTATGTGAAAGATTTGGCTCTGAGGACAGAGACCATTAAATTTACTTATGCAATATTATAATAAAACTAATTTAGTTTAATAGATTATATAAATTGCAGTTGTTGCACCAACTAAGCAGAACAATTTCCAAGTACTGACAAAAACAGCTAATGTGTTGTGCTCTGTCACTCAGCTGATGATTAAAAACACATGGATAATAGGATATTAGAATCATTTCTGTAGTTTTCTATTATATTTTGTCAGTGTGTCCTTAAAGACCAGAGCTCAAGTCAGTTCCTGGCTAGATCATTTATTCATAACTATGAACATGAAGTTACGAGGCCAGTTTCAAATGGAGTTGGCTTTGGTGCAAAATCATTTCTTTTTTCTCATTGGAGTGATAACTTTTTTTCTGTTTATTTATTATTTGCAAAGCATAATGACAGTTCAGGGTTTTATTTGTGCTTTGGTTTGCAGGAATATTTTCTCATTGTGTTTTCTAATTTAGTTTAGTTTTAAAAGAGCGCTTGCAGTTTATATTTTATTTAGACTGCATCTAAAATTGTATTTTACTACTTAAAAGTTTGATTCAATTCATTTAAGACTTAAAAACAATATGTGACCCGTGCTGGCAAAATGAGTCGGGCTAAAGTGATAAATGTCGAATTTGGTTTTCACAAAAATTAGTTCATTAAGCCCTCATCTAGTGATCCCAATGCTCCAAATAGTAAGTAAACATCTAAAATGATCGTTATTTGTACGTTTTCTGAGAAGAGTACCTTTTTTCCACTCGTTTCTCGCGCTGACTCTCATCTGAAGCTCCGCATTAAGGCACTTCCGACAGCGAGATCCCGATACATATACACAGAATTACAGTATTTAAGTATTCACGCAAACATAATCTGTTATGCCTTAAGTGAACGTTTGGAGAACTGTTGGGGAAAAACAACATTATATTAGATCCGTGCATTACTGTGGGTCTTAATTAGGGTTGGGTGTCGTTTGGGTTTTTTCGATACCGGTGCCAAAAATGAGTCGGGCTAAAGTGATAAATGTCGAATTTGAGGTTTTCACAAAAATTAGTTCATTAAGCCCTCATCTAGTGATCCCAATGCTCCAAATAGTAAGTAAACATCTAAAATGATCGTTATTTGTACGTTTTCTCTGAGGAGTACCTTTTTTCCACTCGTTTCTCGCGCTGACTCTCATCTGAAGCTCCGCATTAAGGCACTTCCGACAGCGAGATCCCGATACATATACACAGAATTACAGTATTTAAGTATTCACGCAAACATAATCTGTTATGCCTTAAGTGAACGTTTGGAGAACTGTTGGGGAAAAACAACATTATATTAGATCCGTGCATTACTGTGGGTCTTAATTAGGGTTGGGTGTCGTTTGGGTTTTTTCGATACCGGTGCCAAACCAATACTTTTAAAACAGTTCCGGTGCCTAAACAGTGCCTGAACCGATACTTATTAAAAAATAAATAAATAAAAATTCCCCCAAAAATTATGGATTGGCCATTAGCACTATAAACACATGATGTCTGTTTCATTCATACTGCACGCCAGAGGGCATCCTCGCACAGAGAATCCACACATCCAGTCACAGAAGCACAGAACTCATGACCCTCCGGGAAATCCCTCATATGGACAAAGCCATGGCTATTATAGCTGTGACTGAGTAAACAGAACATATGAACATTTTTAATGATAAAACAAAGACGATAAACACTCGACTGCGACAATATAGTGTATCTGTGTTATTCAAGCCATCTCTGGTATTTTCATAATTAAGTATATTTATAATCCATTGCTCTCATATCACATATTTTCTGCCTTGTTCTGTGACAAGAAGCCTCATCAGATCACAGAAGGAAGCATGTGACTGGTGTTGTGGAGTAAAAAGGTTATGATGTTCTCTTTTGTTGGACAACAGGTTTAGAAATGTGAATATAAGGGAGGTTTAGCTTTAGGAATTTTAATTTAAGCATGTTTAGCTTAGTTAACGGAAGCCATCAGAGCAAGTGTAATTACTGCATTCACACGCTCCTCGATGCTCTCGTTTCCAGAGTTCTGCTTTTAAGTCGGAAGGTGAAAACAACATGGACACTCCTGTTACTACAAAGATGTTGGATTTGTATTTTTAGAGCTTTCCGACTTGAGTTCACGTGCGTTTTCTCAGTCGGGGAATTATTTTTCACGTGCGGTGCCGGTGATGATGATGCTTGCGTCCGTTTTGGAGAACCAGAGGACACATATTTCAATCGAGCGCTCAGGCATGGCACTGAAATGAGGCACCGAAATCTGCATTCGGATTCGGTTCTAGTACATACCGGTTACATAGGTACCGGTGCCATATTAGTACCGGGTTTTGGTACCCAACCCTAGTCTTAATATATCGGCCGTCTGTGAATCTAAAAGAGGGAGTCACTCGCTGATTGAACTGCTTTTGTAGTTTTAATAATCAGTTTATTTGTAATGAACACATTAAAGGGATTTTTACATTTGATTATTTGATTTTCTTACTTGAATGCTTCTGTTTAGATGTAAAATGGAAAAAGTAATGCATTATTTTTTTCTTATATTTGTTTTACTATTTTTTTTTTTGCATTTGTTATTATTTATAATAACAAAGATAAAATAAAAAATAGCTATATTGTGACTATTATTATTTATTATTAAGAAAAGAACTGGAGGAAAAGATGCAACGTTGCTGTGATTTTGTTTTGGAACCTTCAGAAAACTTTAACTCTGTTTTTCTCAGAATTGACTTTGCTGACTCTGTCGACTTCAAACCGGTGCAGCTCAGTCATTTTTCATCTGATTCCAACAAACCATACATCATTCTGAAGGTCTTTTACAGAAAAATGTGAAAAGATTGCTCATTGTGACTTGATTTTGCAAGCACAGATCACATATATAATGTAAAAATAAATTTGTCATCAGTACGTGCTTCTGAAATTAAACTCTATGTTCATGTATTGATGGCAAATCTTACAAATGTAGGGATGCTGCGTTTTTGGAGTTGAAAGTTCCAGGGCCTAATTAAATTGAAATTAAAGTCAATATATAGAGACGGGCATGTGTAGTGCCCCCAAAACATACTTGGACATTTAAGCTACAAATGTTTGAATTTCAATCCATTGAAAGCTGTGTCTGCAAACAAATGCTAAACTAGTTTTGCATTGAGTTTTAACTGGTGTCAATGTGATTTTAGTGCATGAAATCTCACAGTTCAACATGATCCAGCAGCATATGACAACCACAAAGCGTCCAAATCTCAAGTTTATACAGTATATCTGCATTCGTTCTGTTTTCTTTTGATGTTTTGTATCTAATCCAGTGATATTCATGCATTGAGTCTGGCTGAAGTGTCCAAGTTTTTGGGATGAACACACAGTCCCATCACGGCGTGTGTGTGTTTGCATTACGTTATGTTACGTCTCCTTCATGCCATCGTAGGTTATTCATATCTGGCTTTGTGTGGACACCGTTCTGTGTAAGTGTTGTCCTTGTCAGAGTAGAAGTGGACTTGAATCGATCTAAACGATTTCCCTACAGGCGACGTGTGAGCGAGGCTTCGCCGCCATGGAAGAGTCTCACCAGAAAGTGATCGATGAGCTGCAGAAAAAGCACCAGCGGGAACTGGAGAAACTGCAGGAGGAGAAGGAGCGACTGCTGGCGGAGGAGACCGCAGCCACCATCTCTGGTTAGTGAGGACGAAACCTTACCTGTTACTCCGCATTGGCTTATTAGGTTTGCATTGAAAGTTTATGAAGTCAATGTTTACATTTTTTGTAATCTGTCTCTAAATGTTTGTATCTCGGGGAGACGTCGCCCTTTTAGGGGTATAAATCAAGATATAAAAATATATACATAGACTCAGATATATACAGAGATAGATTTTTGTAATCTTGACAAAAAACACATACTGTATCGTTGGAAAGGTCTGACAGTCAAGGTGACATATTTGGTAACTGTTTGGTAATAGAAGTGATGTTGTGACAGAAATTGTCAATAATAAAACAATAGAGTTTGGGTGTCACCCAGTGGTTATTTTCGGTATAGTGGCCAAACAAAATCTCACAATTTTTGTGATATCAACTTCAAATTCGGAACATAACTTTGTTAGACATATGGCTTTGATTTTATAGCAATTTTAGAGTGCAACATATTTAATTACATATTTATTTTATATACAATTTTTAAAAAAAATAGTATTCTGCATTATCTTTACTGTAAACTTAAACTTCTATAACTTTTTATACTTTCTTTTTTAAATGCACTCACTTCAGCAATAATGCTATGCGTTTTCTTTAAAAATAGACCAACCGTAGGTCTGTATTCCAAAGCGTTCAGGAATTATAACCATGTTATAACAAGCATTGATAAACAAGTGTTCTGTTTCCAGTGAATTTAGCGATATAAACATTAAAATCCAAAATAAGAGTCAAGTTTTGAAAAAAATACATCGCCAGCCAAAAATGACCTGCCTTTTAAAAATTGCTTGTAAATCTCTCATTATGCTATATTATCATCAACATTTGTATCAACTTGTTTATTTCAATTAACACAGGTTTTGTATTTCTTTTTGGAGCTGATTGATTGCCTCATTGATCTGAGCTGATGTTTGTGAGTGAATAAAGCATTATTTGTGGATAATTTCGGCAATATTCACTCAAAAACTGAGGACAACCAGTTCCAGAAAGAAACACAAAACCTGTGCTGATTGAAAGAAGCAAAGTTGATAAGGGTAATAATATAGCATAATCTCAGTGAAAATGTCATAATTATAAATGCATATAGACACAAACGTAGAATAACCTTTTTTTCCTGTTTTTAAGACCCATTACTAATAAGCAGCGTTTTTAATGTTTTTCTTTGACTAGCTATCGAAGCAATGAAGAATGCACATCGGACGGAGCTTGAGCGGGAGCTGGAGAAAACGCGCAAGGCCAACAGCAACACAGAAAACGCAGACATCGAGGAAATCCACAAACAGCACGAGTCAGTTGCTACTCCTTTAACGCCATTTCAGCCTCGTAATGCATTAAAATGCAGCGCAGCCGCACCTTTGCAATCTTTCGGGAAGTAAACAGCTGTCTCTTCAGATTTAATTGCTTGAAACAAGTTTACACGGCCACACCTCCCATCTCGCTTTTGTGGCACATGTCTTGTAACATCACTGTTAAAGCTGCAATATGCAAATAAGACTTGCAAATAATACTGCTTTAATTGGAGTGGATAAAGGGTTTAAAGCCTGGGGCAACGCAGCCAAGATGCCAAATCTGGAGTGATTGCACAGTTTCTTTCTTTGTGCACATGCTCGTAATCTGCTCTCAAGCTCTTGGCTGTACTTCTGTCTAGACATAAAGGCCTTGCTCTTTTATCATCACATTAAACTGAAAGGAAAAACGCATGTGCATTTGTGTTGCAGGGAAGAGCTGATGTCGTACCAGAGGGAGATCGAGGTGTTGTCGGAGCAGTACTCGCAGAAGTGCTTAGAAAACGCTCATCTGGCCCAAGCGCTGGAGGCCGAGAGACAGGCGCTCCGACAGTGCCAGCGGGAGAACCAGGAGCTCAATGCACACAACCAGGTGACCGCTGCTAACCTCAGTGACCAATATTATAATTCGTCCACAATATTTCTTCACTTAGGGCCCTATGATGCCAAATTTTTAATGAATAAATCCAAAGTAGGTCAGTGCACTTCAGTAAGATGGCGATATGGACTGGTGTCTGTAAATATTCAATAAACACACACACACACACACACACACACACACACACACAAAACTCTTCACGGCAAAATAAAAGTTGGGTTAACTTGAAATTGTGACAGACATATATTGTATAGTAGAATGTGCACTACCAGTCGAAAGTTTTGGAACATCTTTATAATAAATAAACGTATTTCATAGGGCCCTAAAAATTTGATTTTTGTTAAACTTTTAATAAATTGTCATTAACCTGTGTAAATTTCATGGTTTCATGTTTTAACCAATCAAATGTAATTTAACCATTAAAACAAAGTTAGAAAAATTTTATCGGAATTTGGTAAAAATTCTAACGGATTTCATAGGGCCCTATTCACTGAGAAAAACAAGACAATAACTAAATAAACAGTTTTGAAAGATAAAGAAAGCAGAAAATATGATGACCTTTTCATGAATGAATAAAAATGAGACTATTTGGAATTGAATTGAGTTCTCTTTCGCACTTGAATGGAAAAATGCACACAAAATGATGTCTGTTTTGGCGAGTATTCACACAAACACGGTGGGTTAAGTATTAAGTGAATGTAAGCAGGTGTGAGAATATCAGAAGTGTGTCAGCATATTGGATCCGTGCATTAGGTCTTAAAGAGACAGAAGCCTAATATACTTGATTAATGTTAATCAAACAACAAAAGACAGAGAATCCCTCACTGCTCTGTAGTAGTTTTAATAAGGATTAAATCGAAACTAAATGGTCAGCATGACCTTAGCGCAACTGAATCGACTTCAGACGCACAGAAGGCTTGATTTGGTCTGTTTGTCTGTCGTGCAGGAGCTGAACAACCGTCTGGCGGCTGAGATCACGAAGATGCGCTCGATGGCGAGCGAGGACGGCGGGGACGCTGGCGGGGGCATGCAGGGGAAGGAGCTGTACGAGCTGGAGGTCTGCTGCTTCCCTTCATGCCTCGCTCGTTCTCCACAGCATGCTGCGAATGAGAAGCTGATCACGCTTGTGTTCACAGGTGATGCGGAGGGTGAAGGAGTCAGAAGTGCAGTATCTGAAGCAGGAGATCAACTCTTTAAAAGATGAGCTCCAGACTGCCCACAGAGTAAGTGCTGCACCGTCATTGTGAGGAGTATTAAAATCAAGATTGAGACCTTTTCCAAGACTTTTGTTCATAATTAAACGGGCTGCGACACACAAGTTTAAAAAGATGTTTTATTTAGTAAATGCATATGCATTGCATTTGGTTTATGCACTAATATTGAATCAATACATATGTTTATATTTGATTTTGCAGATATAAGGCAATAAACATAATTGTGCTGCTACTAGAAATATGTATATACATTGAAAGCGTTAATGCTCTTAGTCTTTCCTTCTCGTGACGAGCAGCCCAGAGAGCGTGAGAGTTGAATTAAATTCCAAATACAGTTTGTGTAACTAAATACCAATAATAATATATGCATTATGCGGGACTTTTAATTATAAACATGCCCGAATACACTGGGACTCTTATTTTGAAATGCCAGTATTACTACTTCATTGCTACAGTGTAAATACCGTAACACAAACACTGGCGTAATTCATAGTCTGAACGATCAAAATCAGCTGCTTGACATAAATGTGTAATATTCGTTGATTGAATTCGAACTGAACTTGCAACACTCGTATTTATTTCATTAAATCATTGTCTTTTGTTTAATTGTTTAAGTTTAATCATCACATTAGGAGGTATTCCCATTCCTGAATTATTCTGGATGCAGAAAAACTAAAATTTTAATCAATAATTTTTTATAGAGTATATACAAAGTTTAGTCTTTTTTTTTTCTATATTGAATTTTATGAAATGTGTGTATTTATTGTATTGTTTATTGAATGTTGTATCTGCCGTGTAATAGCCTGTGAAGCTGACATGGCAATTTAAATACAACAAACTATTTTTGTACCCAAATATATGACCTCCTGAAATGACTATAATTTTGATCAAACTGAATTTTAACGCTTTTTAAAGGACCCCGTTGTAAGAATGTGCGATGATTAATGTGCCGTGTCTCTTTATAGGATAAAAAATATGCAACGGATAAATACAAGGACATCTACACGGAGCTGAGCATCGTACGGGCCAAAGCGGAGCGCGATCTGAGCCGCCTGCGCGAGCAGCTGCAGCAGGCCCATGATGCACTGGGGCAAACCGCGCTGGAGGACGTGGAGCGCGGTGGATACGGTACGAACCTCGCCTCGAGATCAACCCACGCTCAGATGCATTCACCTGCACGTTGTCACCGGCTGGCTGTCGTGTCTTTCAGATATCATGAAGTCAAAGAGCAACCCTGACATTTTAAAGATGGCGGCCGCCGCGGCCAAACGCTCCGAACGCACCATGAGGTCAAAGGTAGGTTTCCAGACGCGCGTTCAGCCTTCTGATGTTGAATAAGAGTTAGTTCAAGGGAAAATGTGGTGTTTATCTGCTTACCCCCTGCAGGGCATCCGAGATGTAGGTGACTTTGTTTCTTCAGTAGAACACAAATTATGATTTTGAACTCCAGCCGTTGCAGTCTGTCAGTCGTATAATGCATGGCAATGGTAACAAAATCTATGAGAGTAAAAAAAACATGCACAGACAAATCCAAATTAAACCCTGCGGCTCGTGACGACACATTGATGTCCCAACACACGAAACGATCGGTTTGTGTGAGAAACTGAACAGTATTTATATCATTTTTTACCTCTAATACAGCACTGTGTCCAGCTGTCTTTGAGCGCGTGCACAGCATCCGGTGCGTGAGGTGTGTACGCGCTCTGGCGTAGTTTACGTTAACAGGTGTGTTGATATCCAGCCGAAGAGCAATCAAGCATAGCTTCAGGCGAGCAGGCGCAGAAGTTGGGAATACGTGGAAAGTCGCCACTCCCGAATGAGTTCGCACGAGAGAATGTAATCTTTTAGTTTTAAGTCGGTTTGAACAATCCGGATAAGCGCAAGTAAGTACCATTTTGATTAGCCGTCGTACCTACAATGACTGTGCACTGTGTAAACAATGAGTGACGTATACGCGCGAGAGATCACTTCCGGCGCTTGCGTAAACTACGCCAGAGCACGTACACACCTCACGCACCGGATGCCGTGCGCACGCTCAAAGACAGTTGGACATAGTGGTTACGACTGACAGACTGCAACGGCTGGAGTTAAAAATCATCAAATGTGTTCTACTGAAGAAACAAAGTCACCTACATCTTGGATGCCCTGCAGGGGGTAAGCAGATAAACATCACATTTTCATTTTTGGGTGAACTATCCCTTTAAGCCCACACTGCCACCCTCAGGCCAACATGCTATTGCCTTTAACCACAAATACAGCGGACTGTGCTTGTGAACAGTCAGGAGCTGAACTCTGTGTGTGTGCTGTGTTTTCTTGCACAGGAGAAAGCCTGGTAGGTAGCGGTAAGACAATGACTTTGTCACATTCCCTCCTCTAACACAGTGCCGTATGTGTGTTTGTGTGTGTGTGTGTGTGTGTGTGTGTGTTTCCTCCGTTTTCCCGCGCCTTTAACCACAAATACAGCGGACTGTGCTTGTGAACAGTCAGGAGCTGAACTCTGTGTGTGTGCTGTGTTTTCTTGCACAGGAGAAAGCCTGGTAGGTAGCGGTAAGACAATGACTTTGTCACATTCCCTCCTCTAACACAGTGCCGTGTGTGTGTGTGTGTTTCCTCCGTTTTCCCCAGTCTGTGAGTCGTGTAGGGATTACCCCGAATAGTCGAAGATTCGATGCTTCGATAGGAGGAGCCTGATTCGATACCAATCTCACAGTCGAATATTCGCAGAGGTGTTATGATCGTGCCATTTTGGCTATATGGGGGTGCTCAAATGTCTGATTTCACACAGAACTACCGGTTTTCTCCCAATAAGTTAATATACAGCCTATTGCGATAATGTTGTAAATAAGAATCTGAAAAGAAAGAAGCTTTAAATAAATATTTTAACGTGCGTGAATAAATCCAACCACCCCTATAGATTTAAGTTTCACTTTCCATAATCTTGGCGGCAGGGATTTAAAACGTTAACAAGAGTGAAACTGACACGGACAGAGTGAAAGACTGGATTTGTTCGATCAGGTAGGGTACAAGTGATTTCAAAACATGTCAGCCGGTTTATATATATCGTGTATATATTATTTATCTCGTATAAGATGCATTTGGTTGAGTCGAGCGCTTCATTGTAGTACAACGGTGATTACCTCTTCAGCGCGAGCAGGACAAACAACAATGCAGAATATTCATAACTATGACTGGGACTGTCATACACATAATTATAATGAGAACACTATTATAATAAAACGCTGTGAATTTTTTTAGTTTAGTTGCCGTGTTTCTGCACGTCGTTGCGTGAAGAACGCGTCCACAAAAGGAGTTCATTCAGAGCCACAGACACGTTCATGTGCATTCAGAGCATTTTGTGCAGGTAGCCTATAAGTCGTAATATTAACGTTTTGTATAAATAACGAAGTGTATTCTATATGAGATAAATGATGAGTTAAATTCAGATTCGACTATGAAAATCCTTAGTCGGGGACACCTCTAGAGTTGTGACATGCCAAAGACTAAACCCCAAGACCTTTGAGTTCTCAGTTTAGGTAAAAGCCCTAGGAAGGGAGCGAGTGCATCATTCAGACGGGTTCATGCTAGGGCTGGGCGATAAACCCGATCTTATCGAGGTCATGATAAAAGGATGAAAAGCTCTCGATGTTTTTGCTGGATCTGGATCAGTGCATGTCTCTAATAACCTGCATGAACTTCATCTCCAGAGCTGCTCTGCAGCTTTACAGCGTTTACTTTGAGGAAAACTACAGTGATGGGCGCGTTTAAACTCTGCTTCATGAAGCTGCGAATCATTTGTTTCGCACCAGTGATTCAGAGCGTGTATCAAACCGTCACGTGATTTCAGGAAATGAGGCTCCAGCGTGTCTATGGTTTTTGCCTGATCTTGGATCAGTTTTATAAATTTGTAGACATTTGTTTTAATGTCATTAATGAGACATTTGTGACAGTGGACCACAAATCCAGTCATAAGGGTAAATGTTTTGAAATTGAGAAGTATGCATCAGCAGCGTCTCTCGGACTCGAGGGCATTTCTACATTCATATTCCACACAGATGCACGTGTCTGAGGGCTTGTGTTTGTTGGTGGCACACCTGGAACTTCTGAACACTTTTTGTTGCGGTCACTGGTTTAAATGCAATGGAAAGGCTGGGGTTTCTTATTTAAGGTCTTAAACTCGTGGCATTAAATGTTGCATGCACTGCAAAAAAAAAAAAGAATCTCTTCCAAAAAAGTATGTTTGTCCTGTTTCTCAATACAAAAATCTAAACATCCTTAAATCAAGATGCATTTACTGGAGATGGAGGAAACTTGTGAAGTTGTGGAATTGATCCAAATTGAGTTTATGCTTTAAACAAGAACAAAAAGCCGTCAATGCGGTATGAAAACTTGCCATTATTGTTTTTTTGACCCCATTGACAGATGCATGTTTTAATCAAGCTTGCTTCATTTTGATCAGTTTCACAGAAAACAACACGTAATGTCATTTAGCATCTCCAGTAAATCTGTCTTGATTTAAGAAAGTTTAGATGTCTGCTCTGGAAAACACAGGACAAACGTAATGGAGATGCGCTAAAAGCTGTGTTTTCAAATTAACTTACAGTGCATTGCATGCAATAAATTACATGCATGTCCCTAGACATCTACACTTACGGATCATATCGGTGTGTTGTGGTCCCTTCAGTTTGTTCCTTATGTTATCTTTGCTTCTTAAAGTTTGACATTGACCTTCACAAGCCCTGTTTGATGTACGTGCTCTCGGAGATAATTTCTAACGTCTCTCTCTGTTTGCGTCTCCAGAGTCTGAAGGAAGGTCTGACGGCGGAGCAGAGACTTCAGCTGCTCGACAGCAAGGACACGAAGGACTTCTGACACGGCCTCACTGCATGCTAGTTAAGAGTATTTTAGCCCAGTAATTAATCACTTAGAGACACACTGGTCATATATTAAACATGGTATGAAGTTTGAGTTTTATGTCTATAGTCATGCACTTCAGTTACTGTGACGTTGTTGGTTTGTTTGCATTGTCTTAATGTAAATACGTTGTTTTTAATGAAGCATCTATCACGCGTACACTAAACACGACTGTGTAAGCTACTGTTTTAGTTTGTGTGAGTGTTTCTCGACGCTACAGACTGCTCGCGTGTGGCGCTAGATGAGCTGGGTTTGCACATTCCCTCCGGCTCTTAATTTAAAACAGCTGCATGTAGTCGAGGCTTGCTTGACCTTCTGCGGCGTCTCCGGATGCTCGAAGCGAAGGAGCACTTCTGATGACCGTAAGACACACGGGAACAGGCCTGGGAGGGTCGACAGAATACTAACAAGTTTGTATAAGCTTGCCGTTATAATTAATGGGAGCTTTGGGTTTTTTCGAGCTGATGAAGTCTGGGGTGTCGTTCAGTGGCAGTCCTTTGTATTTATTTAAATGTAATGAATTTTTTGTCTCACATTTCCATTCGTCTATACATTCTTGTAAATATACCGCAAATGTACACGAACTGACAACAGGTTTATTAGCAATAAATATTTTTGCACCCTCTTTTTGCACGGATTGGTCTGTCATTTATTTATTTATATCGCAGGCTTTCTTAAATCAGAGTCGTGGCATTGAATGTTGCATGCATTGCTAAAAATGAGTATCTCCAATTTTTTTTTCTCAAATTTCAAAGTTTTCAAAAGTCAAGAAGCGTTTGCTGGAGATGCAAAACGAAGGAAGTCTTGCTTTCTGAGAAATTCAGCTCAATGCAGTGAGTTTGAGCAAATATCCGTCAAAGGGGAATCAAGTTTAGCAAATTAAAGTGTTTTTGTTTGTTTGTTTTTCTGAGCCCATTGGCATATATTTGTTGGTTTTAATCACAAACCCGCTTCACGTTTCTCGTAAACAACACATTTCATCTTCTGCTTCTCCAGTAAATATATCTTGATTTAAGAATCTTTAGACAGAAATGTAGATGTTCACTTTTGCATTGCGATCAGAAGCCACAGTGAATGCTCTAGTGATTGGAAGACGTTTATTTATTGATTGTAAAATTAATTAAAAGTAATGGAAATCTTTTGGAAGCTGGATGTTGTTTATAATACAAGACATTTACATTTAGAGTCCATATGTGACATTGTGTTCCATTACATTTATTCCTTCCTTGGTCTTGAAAAGGTCTTCATAAAACCTGCAGAAACCCTGTATTTAGTGTCATTAAGTCATGCATTTATAAATTAAGTTATACTAAAAATAAGGCAAATGTATTACATGATGTGCTGATTTATTAATCGAATTAATTGCACGTTATTATTTTTTTTACATTTAAAATTATTTTAAAATTGTGCTCTCCAGACCTTGAAAATGCTTGCAATGTTTTAGTAAGTGTTAGAACTGAAGTGAGAACAATGAACGTTCTGTTCCGCGCGACACACTTCAGTGGACTGACTACAAGTCCCAGAATGCAGCGCGGCGACAGCAGCGACGCTCTCTTCAGACACGCGACGCACGCGGCGGAGTCTGCGATGGCTTCGTGAATGAACGCGTCGCGTCGCTCCGGTGAGTCCGTGTAGCTCGGCTGCTAACGGGAGCCCGCGCGCTTCATTAATCTCTCATTAATTGCGCTGCGACGCGCGTTTGCTGGACGCGTTGTTTACTGTCGTCGGGATGCGCATTAGCCCGCGTGCTAACACGCCGCTATGCTAACGTTAGCATAACAAACGCGCACGGAATCGCAGCGCAGCTGAAAACCCGATTGTTTTGGCATTAATGAAGGCCTCTTCATGAGTTTGACACCAAATACAGGAACACAGACGTGATTTATAAAGTATCCCGACACAAAGCTGAAGTTCAGCACATACCGCGGTATCCGGTGCAGTACCGTGTGAAATACCGTGGTAAGTTACATATTAACTGGTTTGTATTAAAATGCGACGCTGTATGAATTTAGTAATTGTGCATTGCTCTGGTAAATACTGGTATTCAGTAAACAGATCGACTAAAGCACAACATGTTTAATAATGAAATGCACTAGGCCTGTATAATTTGTTTATATCCTTTAATATTGTGCATTTTGAGGGTATTTCATACAGCTACACGGTGTTCTTTTCCAAATTGGCACCATTTTTTCCTATATAAAATAGAAAAATATTTCATATTATTTTCAATTAATAAGTTAAAGAGATATATATATATATTTTTTTATTATTATTTTTTTTTTTTTTT